CCCACACCAGCCATCGTATGCTGGCCGTGAAAGCCTTCGACTCTAACTGGCAACTTGAATTGCATTTGGACACCAACCAGCAACCAGTGCACACTGCTGTAGTACTGTAATATGGCAGTAATGGGTTTTCCCTATTAGCATGTGAGTAACTATTCTGTATACAGTAGCTGAAATTTGGGGCAGTCTTCAAGGGCAGACCTTTGTTGAGTGAGTTACTGTATAGTGGTCCAAATGTAGGGTGTCAAGAGCATGAGTAACCATTGATAGCATCTCCCATTCCAAGAAAGGCTGTAATTGGTGCACCATTCAGAACTGGGCAAAGCTTTCCTGGCTATGGCTTCCACTTGATCTTCTAACAGGAGTATGAGTGGAGAACTCTAGATAGCAGGCTACCTCTTTCAGGGGGAGCACAACCCTTGTAAAGCTCAAGTTGGTGCCATCCTGGAATCCATGGTCTGCACAATCAACAACTACTCTGTCTTCCCTGAGTTGAGCCTCAATCTCTTTCTCTTCATCTTGACCCTTATGGCCTCCTGACACAGGGTCACAACTTCTACCACATATCCCATTTGGCCCAGGATGAAGATGCAAAATTACCTGCCGAGAGACCTTGCAATTTTTGGAGGTATTTTACATTACATAGCAAGCAGCATATCTTAAATCCTTTATAGCTCCCAGTTGTATATAATGTGAACATTTTCTTTCTTGCATGAAATTAATTACAGACTGAAGAATAATACATGCACAACCCACTCCTTGCACTGACAGGCACGTGATATGAAAACAAGCAGCCTATATGCTAGTCAGAATCTTACATTTTCTTTCTGTGAAAGGAAGAAGGCAGATCACTTGCCGTTTCACAGCTGCTAGTGTTTTCTCCTAGTACTCATCATGAATCTGTGTGTTCTAAATCTACCATATAGGTGTCAAATGTGTATTCCACCTTTCCCTAAGGAGTTTAGAATGGTTTGTTTAGTGCCTAAAATAGACCTGTAAAATAGATGAGAATGAAATGGAACAGGGGTTCCATCTGTGTACTAAAAATCTGCCTTAATTGCATGGAGTTGTGAACCTACTCATAGGAGAAAAAGGGAGGCATGGGTGAGGAGTGGTGACCCTTCCCCCATCCATGACTCTGGGCTTATAATTACATAATACCGCTTTCCAGCCATGTTTCTCCTATCTGTTGTGCTAGTGCCAACATGACCGTGCTTCAGGAAAGAAGCTATAGCAGGGCTGAGAAATCTTTTCACAGCCATACTTAAATCTCTCTCTCTTTGTTACTTGTTTTTATTTAAGGATTCACAGGGACAGGGCCAAAACTTTCACCTCTACTTAAGGCTTAATACAAATTGTTTTCAGCCGCTGTTAAAAGAATGGCCCAAAATTGTGCTGCTGAAAAACATTGTTGCCAAAGTTTCGCAGTACAAGCTTATGAGCTCCAAGGGCTGCATGTCCCTTGCTGTTTGTTTTTTTAAAACATATAATTATATTGAAAAATTTAAACCAAGAATAAGACTAATACAAACTAAAATAGAGCAAAAAAGGGAAAGGAAAACATTAAAAAATAAAAGGTGCAAAAAGAAAAAGAGTAGCGGAAAAATAGAAAAAAGATATAAAGAAGTGGCCTCCAATCTTCTTTACAGTAGTTATAAGTATAGTTATAAACTGACCTCTCTCTCTAAAATTACATCATGATTTTTATCTTCTTTCTATAATCTATACTATCTAATCAAAACCATAAACCACAAGTTCATTTTTTTTCTTTTTTTACACAAAAAATCCGTAAGGGGTCACCAATAAACATAGTGCAGGCCCCTCCTTGTTGAGCTACAGAGAGGTAAGAACTTGTTTGCTTTCACAGCTGAGTTTGTCTGATTGGCCATTGCAGGAAGCTGTTCTGGACAAGTTGGACTTTACATCTGATCCATCAGAGTTCAGTGTTACGTCTTACATTACTCTGAATGTAATAATACAATTTAGTGAGCTCAAATCATCCCTGGATACAAACTTAGCACGTTTGCCAGTAAACCATACTGGTTCACTGTTTGGGTGATATAGTTCACTGAACTATGATTTGGCATGGTCAAAACCATGGTTTACAATAATGACTGGTTTGATGCAAGATGCTAAAATGAAACAAAGCCCCAGACACAATATACAGCAGTAATAGACTGTCATTGTTAAACAATGAGAGAAGGATTGTTTATTCCCATGATTTCTGTGTTCAGATCAGCGTAGTTCTTAAGATTTGTCCGTCTTCTTTCTTCATTCTTCTTTAGCAGATTCTCAGTCCTCCCCAGGAAAATGTCCCATGAGACTGAGCCTAAAAGACTTTTTGTCAAATGCTACCATTCCAGCTGGGTTTTTCTGGAACAATGACAACTCTGCTTAGACAGCAGCAGCTGGCAAACCAATCGATACTATACTGGTTACACATAGCATTTAAATAATAAAAGCAAATAAAATACATAATCTGCAAGGCTACTTAGCATATTTTTAAAAAGTTATAACAATATAATATTAAATGTAATATAATGTAATGTAATATAATATAGGCCTGGTCTCAATTGGCTGTAATTACTTTGGCATTCTTTGTGATTGCATTTCTGCTTGGTAACCTACTGAAGACACCAGTTCAGTGGCAGTTGCAAGTCACAGCTGCCCTCACTTCCAGTCTCAGATAAGTTCAGATTCATCCGTACCACAGTTCTGCCTGAGTATTGGTTCTCTCTCTGCTTCTCCTAAAGTAGCTCAGTGAAACCATGTGGCTATTTCCATTCTCCATCTTGCTTAGATCTTTCAGAGGTCTTCTTCCTCCTTGGTCTCCTCCAGAGAGTCCTTTCTCAACTCCTAACTCTCTCTCCCCTTCATCCCCAGGCAAGGGTTTTTCAAATGGAGAAGGGGAGGCAGGGCTTAGACACAATTCCCCTCCCACCCCCAGCCAGGATGCCCAAAATGCCAAAGCCTTTGTGCTCTCTGGTCCAGAGGGAGGGCCTGTGGATCATCCCTGGTGTAGGTACTTGCATTTAAAATAATTGTGGATTCTCCTGCCTGTTTGCTCAGGCATCTGGGATTTGTGTATGGGCTGCCTGGTTGAGTGGGGAGAAGGGAAGCACTTGCTATCACTTGCCTGAATGAATGAGGGGTGCCCAGTCACTTGCAGGGTTATTCTCCTTGCAAAGTATGTGCTCTACCATACCAGCAGCCTTTGCCAAGCTGTGTGGAGGAGGGCAATAGAATGGCCTCATTGGGATTTGGAATGCAGCTTCAAACACCTTATTTCACAAACAATATCAGAGTGAATAAAAAGGATAACTGAAATAATAAACATTTTCATAAAGGAGATCTGTATGTACATATGCAAATAAAGAAAACAGTCAAACATGCAGCAATGGGGCCATTCCTTTTTTGTATGCCTGCCAGCCATCAGCCATGGCCTTCTCTCGGATACTCAATTCCACATCTGTCCCATTGATTACATTTTTTCCCAGTTAACTGTGTTGTGGCAAATAAGCAAGCTCGTTCCTCAAGCTCATTCCTCATTGGCTTGTAATACATTGGAGTACTGCTACAGATTTTCTTTTTACACAGTTAAGAGGTATTTTTGCAAACTTCTGACTGCACATGCTAATATCTCACTTTTGTTTCTCAGTTATATACAAAATTTCTGACACTTATTCCCTGAGTTCAGTCTTAGAGTGATTGGGGCCATTTCTCTACTTCTTAGTGGATGTTGTGTTGTGAATATGTAGTTTTCCTGTTTGCTTAATGGCAGCCTTTACTTATTGCATGTGCTTATCTCACTCTTTAATTTGTTTACATTTAGGTTGTATAAATATTTACACTGAAATTATTATAGCACCTTATACCACCCATTGGACAGTTGGTGGCAAGAGCCTTGGGGCAGGGGGTGGGAATCAGGCTAGAACAGACATCTTGGCTGGTTATTGCTTGCCTTACTCTCTGACCATTCAATAATTATAGAATATCACATGGAGAATGATGTTATGGTTGGGGTGGGGTAAAGGTTAAATGGGATTTATTTTTCAAAACTACACTTTGAATAGTAAACCTGTTTGTGGATAATTCATTATCTTTCTTGAAGGGTTTTCTAGTCCTCAGGTAAGTAGTCAACCTATATGATATATTGCTTGTTGCAATGAGCTGCCCTTTTCTTATGAATATTTATAGCAATTGCATCAATTGGTCTTTTTTTTTTTTTTAAATCTCTTGTGATACTAGGATGAGGTAGCCTATGAGGAGAGGACATATGAAGGTGGGAAGTTTGCCACTGTTGAGCTCACTGGAAAGCCTTTTGACGAGGCCTTACGTGAAGCAGTGCTGAAGCTTCTTAAATATGTTGGAGGAAGCAATAATCAAGGTGACTTTTCATGACTCTCTTTATAACCCAGCTGCTTAACTATATATTTGCAACACTTAAAAACATCTTTAGAGGTGAACATCATTTTGTTTCTCAATGAAGTAGAACCAATTATTTATGTTTACTCTAAGGAGCTGGCATGGGGATGATGGCTCCAGTGTGTAGCACAGTGTTTCCTGCAGAGGACGGGTCACTGCAGCACAAAGTGAAAGTCCTGCTACGGATTCCAAGCCAGTTCCAGGACAACCCACCTTCACCGACTGATGAGAGCATCCAGGTTGAAGAAAGAGAAGAAATGGCTGTTTACTCTACGTAAGTTTCTTTGAACGAGTTGTGAGTGAAGGACTTAGTAAATTTGTCCATGGCTGCAATTAACGTCTCTTAAATTGGTGCTCCCCAGATGTACTGAACATCAAATTTATCATCCTCTGCCGACAAAGCTAGTGACCTTGCCTACTGGGGCCTCTGGGGATTGAACAACTGGGGAGCACAAGGTTTTCTAAGAATACTTTAGATTTTATTATCTTTGTTAATTTTTAATGTTCAGCAAATTATATTCATAGTTGATTTTAGGTCAATGAGTTGTCCTGAATGCTTATTTCACCATGTAGTGGTGCAAAGCATTTTCTTATTAGCACAACACAAAAACATAGTTTTAATTTTATAACAGCTGCTGAATATTTGAAAAGACAATATCTGTGCATCAAGGCATGGTTCTAATGGATGCAAGGGTTCAATGGGAATGATAGCTATACTGTTGAAACATTAGCTTTTAAGTTAATTGAGGCAAGAGGTTGTGTTTTAAAATTTTAATTTTAATTTTGCTAATATAATTCTGTAAGATATTATATATGCTGACAATGCAACAAAATTAAGACCCAGTATCAGGGGCGTGCATTGGATCAAACTGGATCTTGAACTTGGGCTATTTCAGATTCTGTGGAGCCATGAAGTGAAATGGAAGACATGTGAAACAACCCAAATAAAGGTCTTGAGAATGGATAGGCTACCACTCCTAATGTAGGGATTTCTCTGAAGCAAGCTAAGAGAACTTGAATGAATTCTGCCTGCCACTTTTAGTTGAGGAGAAATGTTTTGGATTCAGACATTCATGCATACCTGCATATTACACTAGTCCTTTATGGGGTAAGCAACATTAAGAAAAATGCAGGAAACGAAAAATAAATAATAATAGAGATGAATATGTATAGCTCAGGGTTGAACTGTAGAGTCCTTGGGGTTCTCT